CACATTCAAATAAGGTTTGCATAACTTGCTGCAGCTAATTGATGAAGTACTGGGATGTATCTTGGTCATGTGTCTGGTCATGTGCCAGGTTGTACAGCTGGGATACACCTTGGCAGTTTGTCAGTTAGCTGCAATTAGCCACAGCAAGTTATGCAAACCTTACATGAAAACCAATAGTATTCTATTGATTTAAAGTGGATTTTAATATGTTTATAGTAGAAATGTGTTGGAAGTTTTAGTCTGCAAGTCCAGGAATTTCTCAGGCAGTGTGGACCCCCGGCAAAAATTCTGTGTGTTATAGACCAAAACATAAATTGGAAGACCATTAGTTACAGTATTCGCAGCAAAAGATTTTAGCACCATTAATTAAATGTGCCAAAACTGAACATGAATACAGTAGGGTGCCCACAGAGATGTGTGAGTCAGAATTAGGTGCACTTAAGTTAGCTGAAGATAGTGGTCTTAAACACACAGCCGTAGCCATCCTTGGTTTCAATCAGGCAGGTGGCTCATATACATGCATTCTCTAAAGTAAATCCCAGTGTGTTTAATAAACTTATTCCCAAGTACATAGGCCCAGAATGACAGCATTCAACATGCAAGTTCTTTTGGTACAAATTCAAGGCCAATCTACATATGTCTTAGGAAATGATCCTGTGTACTGGATCTCTTATGTGATTTTAAAATGTCAACAGAACCCTTGATAGTTTCATTTTTGAATTGACACTGCAGTACTGGTAGATTGTGGAACAAACATACCTTATTTTACAGTTATCTGGTTGAAATTCTCTTCACCTGTGTGCAGAAACTGACATTACAGAGAGCCAGTAATTAAAAGCAGGAATTTCTTAACTATTCACAACAGAAACTCTTCTGACCCCACAAAAGTTAGCTTGCTTTATTTCATGATTAGAGATACCCAATGTATTATAGTGGATAGAGTGATGGATTTGGACTCTGGAGATCAAGGTTCGAGTCCCCACTCAGCCACGGAAACTCACGGGGGAGTGGAACTGGTAAAAGGTAAAGGTAAAGGTTCCCCTTGACAATTTTTGTCCAGTCGTGTTTGACTCTAGGGGGCGGTGCTCATCCCCGTTCCCAAGCCATAGAGCCAGCGTTTTGTCCGAAGACAATCTTCCATGGTCACATGGCCAGTGCGACTTAGACACGGAATGCTATTTCCTTCTCACTGAGGCGGTCCCTATTGATCTACTTGCATTTGCATGCTTTCGGACCGCTAGGTTGGCGGGAGCTGGGACAAGCAACGGGAGCTCACTCCGTCGCGTGGATTAGATCTTACGACTGCTTGGTCTTCTGACCCTGCAGCACAGGCTTCTGCGGTTTAGCCCGCAGTGCCACCACGTCCCTGGAACTGGTAAAACCACTCCTTAAATATCTCACTTGAAAGCCCTACTAGGATTGCAATAAGTTGGTTCCAACTCGACAGCACATAACAACAACAACAACAACAACAACAACAACAACAACAACAACAACAACGTTTCATCATTGGTCTTCAAGGCTTAAGCAGCACTAATAAGGTGCTATTTGCATTGATGCTGTTTGCTGTTACGCATGTGGAGGATGGAGGACAATTTCATCTAGGAAAATAGCAGAGGAGAAAAGCTTGCATGTTCCAGAGCTGTGGTCTTGATCCAAGTCTTGCCCGGTGGCAGTTATGAACCATTTAAAAATCCATGTGAGATCCTTTCTACGGATTTTTTTTTTTTTGGTTTCACCTCTCATTTGGCCTTTGATCAGACCGCAGCAGGATTTTTTTTTCCTTTTCTACTTCAGCTATTATATAGCATCCTTCGCTTTTCAGTTCTTTGAAATGATTTACATTTGCAAGTACAGTTGCCAAAGTAAAGTCTCCTGGATAAAAGGAAAAAAATGCTACATACATTCAACCCCCAACTTGGTTTTCCATCCTAGTCATTTAGTAATAAATAGTTAATGCTAGATTACACATAACAGCTGGATAAATGAGAAAATTGTTTGACTCTCTGATGTTGTTATCTTCCACTGTATTTCGCATCTCCACCCCTTGATGCTTCATTTAATACATATATCAACTTCTTTAGGGTAAGCCCTTGGGTTTGCTAGTAAATTACAGTAAATCACAAATAATTGGTATTCACCACTCCAATAGCAATTTCACACCATGGCTAAGCTCTGTTACGGTTTCCCCAAAGGGCTTCAAGTACCTTGGAATAGTTCTCCCATCGTCCATGCACATTATTTCAAAATGACTCATTTTCTGAATGTTAAGTATTGTGGCATTCTGTGATTTTTCTCAATTTTCCCCACTTAATATTTCCCATGAGACTGAAAAATACTGAAATTCCTTTAGTTTTGAAAAGGGTGGATTTTAATTAACTGTCCAAAGAGAGGTTTTACAGCACGGACTGTTTATACTCAAGTGGTGTTAATATGTTCCTTCACAACACCTTCATAATGGTTTCTTCATAATGGTTTCAAAGAAAGTATATGAGTTCGTACAACTCTTACAGTATTTAACAAGGTTTTTAAGGAAGTCATTTAAAAATATTTTTCATGCTATTTCAGTTCCTTGGCACACAGCATTTGTACACTTTCAAAATAGTGTATTCATTACCTCGAATATGTTTCTGTTGAAAATGTCAGATCAAGTTGTTAAATATCACAAAAAAGTATGCAAAGGATACTAAAAGTTGCCCATGTAGTTGCTGTAAAATAGAAAGTCATTGTATGGGGCAGTCTTGTGTTCCCTTCTTAATTCCATGACCTTCTAATATCTCCATGTCTGTTCAAGTCGAGAGTCACAATCTTATTTGGGTAGCTTTTCCATGGGGAAAGAAACCTTTTGAGAAGATAAATTATGCCATAGGACTAATGTCACCTCCCCCCCCCGCCACTAAGAGCTGAACACAGTGCTGTCCTCCCTCATTCTTTCTGCAGCAATGGCAGGGAATGACCTGTATTATTGACATATTCTGCAGAAGAGTAGGAGTATGTATATCTGAAGTGATCTGTCCAAAACTTAATGTTTGGCGGGCCCTGGTGAAAGTGATGAACCCTGAAAAATAACAAATAATAATGAGCATAAATTTATCAGAATACATTTTTCTTAGAAACATTCTGAGATTTTTTGTGGTTGTCCCCCCCTTCAAAAGAAAATATCACTTTGAAGAATTATTTCAGCTCACAAAACCGGTAAATTTTAAGGAAAACATATATAATATGTTTTATAGGTGGTATATAACTCTGAAAAACTCAAAGATTTATACAGAGGTGTCAAATGTGTGTTGGAAGTGTAAAGCACAAGAGGGAAGCTTTTATCATATGAGGTGGACTTGCAGAGAAGCAAAACAGTACTGGATAGCAGTACATACTTTGTTACAAAAAATGTTGCTTTGTAATGTTCCACTAACCCCAGAATTGTTTTTACTGAATATTATACCAGATAATATAGATAAGACAAAGTATTGTCTAGTTATATATATAGTCACTGCAGCCAGAATTCTTTATCCTAAGAATTGGAAGAATTCGAAGGTACCGAAGCAAGAGCTCCTGGAGAAGATTTGGGAAGCGGCAGGAATGGCTATACTATTGGAAGTGTTGAAAGACTGTCCAATACAAAAGTCAACTGAATGATGGGATTTATTATATAAAAAGCTTGAGTCAGTAGATAGAGCTTGATTAACATAGAATTAAACTAAGATGTAACTGCAAGCAGGAATCTGGAAGGGCAATCAAACTGTAGAAAGGTGAAAAGTGGACTTGATATTGTAACACAAACAAATAGGATTTGATGACGGTACATTTTATGTTCTCCTTCTCCCCCACCTTCCCCCCCATTCCCCTTACCTTCTGTATTGCTTACCCTATCCCCAGCTTAAAAAATAATAAAATAAAAGGAAAATCTAAAGGAGAAGATCACTTTGGAGAATTATTTCTAAACTTTCTCCATCTTTTTGTTTGTTTGTGGCTGCCTCCCTTATATCACCTTCAGAATCCCATAGAATGGTACTGGTTAGAGGGTGTTGTGGATGAAATAAGATGGAGCCCAGGCTGCCAACACAGTAGTTTTCATTGCTATTTCAGAAGCAGTGCAAAAAAGTACAATTCTGTAGCATGAAGAAAGAACAAATCTGTACTACGATGACTGCTAATGGTGAATCCCACCTTTGAAAAACTTTTGGAGAATTTTTTCTTCCCTCTGAGAAATTTAGGGGTTAAAATGGTTCCTGAAACTGAAGAGACTGGAGATTATTCAAGAGCTGAGAGCTCAAGATGCTCAGACTATTTATTTTTGGTACGCATAATTCCCACTGTAATTACTTTATTTACAGACTTGCATTATTGGGTCAAAGAGGTCAGTACACTACCTCTGGATTCAGTCAAAAGGCATAGCCACACTGAAGCCTAGAAAAATCAAGGTGGCACTGAAGCTTACATAGACACAATTATCTTATTAGTGGATTGTTGTTCTTTAGTCGTTAAGTCGTGTCTGACTCTTTGTGACCCCATGGACCAGAGCACGCCAGGCCCTCCTGTCTTCCACTGCCTCCCGGATACTTGCGGATCTTAGTGGATACTTTCCTTGTAATCTAAATATGGGTTTTAACAGGTTGAAAAAAGAATATCATTCTTATCTCTCAGATGTTTAATTCTCCCCCCCCCCCACAAATACAAAAGGGGATAAATTTGTTGGCATTGTCAGATAAGGTCTCCTTGTTCAGAATTTGATTGGGTGAGACCCTGAAATTTAATGAATCTGTGCACTCAGATCTTGTGAAAAAATATTTCACCCCTGTACTAACATACTAGGAGAGGCTGAGCTTTTTGTTGAAATATAGATTGAAACCAGCTCAACTAGCTTTGATTCCATCTACTTAACTGAGGCTTCCGTATTTTGCCATCAGAAATACTTTCTACCAATGAGTCATGTAGGTTAGCTCAACAACCTGAGGAGGAGTGGGGGAGTCCCTCCTAATTTTTTTTCTTTCTGCTTTCAGAATGAAGATTGACTAGACTGAAGTCAACAGTGACATTTCAGAACAAATCCTCTCACAGACTTCAGCTTGAGGAAAAGAGATTCAAGGTCTGCCACTACTAGCAGGAGATAATCTTGTTGTGTGGCAGGGAGAAAGTGCTTTCGCTGCTGATGAAAGAGGATCACCTGCTGTGAAAGCATTGTACAAATGTTGAAGATACTCGGAAAATGCCAGCGCTCCAGGGATATACAGACCAGAGCCGCAGGACACTCAACAGTCCTCCCACTGAGTGGTTAAAGGGAACCCATCCAAAAATTCTATGAAATATAGCCACAGTAAATGTGAGAAGGGCCCTTTCATAAAATGGTTCAGAATGTAAGACTTTATTTCTAACACCTACTGGCTTGATTTCAGTGAAAGTAAAATTCAACACCACTCTGAGATAATAGCCTAAGGAATACAAGGGGCTCAGCCCCTATTACATTACAAATGTATATCAATTTAGTATCACTTTAGCTGTTATGACAGTCCCAGCCCTGGTTACAAATTCTGGAAATTACAGATTTGACTATGTTAAGAATTTTCTGGTAGAGGTCTCTAGCTGTCCTGCCTTAAAAAGCTAATCTTTAGAGTTTAGAATTGGAATTTGTGTTCAGCCATTTAAAGTGTGGGTACAACAGAGCATCTCCCACATTCTGGCATTTCCCAATTTTTGCATGAATTGTGGAATGTGCTTTGTCTGTCCAATTAAAAGGAACAGGAGTTATTCACAATGCAAATTCTGTTGCAGTTTTACACTAGGGGGAGAGAAATAATGAAAATCAGTGTGGCTAATTGACAAGGTCCCGGCTGAGTCTTGTGCCCACCATCTAAGCAATTACCTTCATATAGTTGTGGTAGCTTCCATATTTTTTCTTCTGTGTGTAGAAAAACACAATGGGATTCTGCCCTTAATGGGTATCTCAACTGCATTACAGGGGTGGAAAAATGGTATGTATCAGTTTTTTTCCCCTATATTCAGATTTTTAAAAATTCAAGTGTGGCTGCTGTCCTGAATATGTGACTTGTGAATGGGGTAAACACTTTATTGTTGCTGCTGCAGTCGATCTTATGTGCCATCAAGTTATCGCCAAATTATGGCGACCCTCTGAATGAACAGTCCCCAAAATGTCTGGTCCTCAACCGTCCTGCTTAGCGTTTGCAAGCAAGCTTGCAACTTCCTTTTGGCAGTCACCCCATCTCATATTTTGTCTTAAACATGATTGTTGATTTTGATTCCCTAAAGCAGTGGTTCCCTTTTTTGAGTCTTGACTCTCTTTCATAATAGCCAAGTAACTTGTGATCATCCACCACATTTGCTTACAAAAAGCTAGAAACAAAACAAAACAAACAAGAACAACACATTTTTTAATGGGCTAAAGTCACCCCTTCTCAGAAAGTACCGGTAGAAGCTTATTTCTGTCCCACTCCACTCCAAAAAGGGACTATTTCTCATACATCCACATACACACTCACTTTGAAAGATCAAGGAAGAAATTATTTAACAAGATATACAACACATATAAAGTGGCCCACAACCCCCAGAAGACACTTTACCCCCAGGTTGGGAAACATTTCCCTAAAGAGAAAGAGAAGAAAAGAAACTCCAACTTTAGCTAGGTTTAACCCATCAAACACAATAAGACTTTCTTCCCCCAAACACAGGTCAATGGAACCAAACTAATAAAGATAATGTAAATGTCTGTTAGACTGTGCTCCATGCTTGCTATTTGTTGATATCAAATTCTGATATCTATTCTGTATTCACTATCAAATTCTGTATTCCATTTCAGCTCTTCCGCACTCTAGTGGCTAGTGAGATAGGTTGGAAACCAAGGTGCAAAAAGTGTGCATTAGCATGCCTATGTTTTGGGTAATGATGGGCTTGATCTGTGATATGACATTTCTTGGTTTGGGGGAAGGGTATAGCGTCAACCATAATTTTTCACTTAAAATTCAAATGTTAATCTCTTTAGGGACTATTCTGTTAGAACCATGTCAGTGAGCAAAGAGAGTATTTTAGGGTATAGAAGACTGCTCTTTGTTCCTTGCTTTTGGTCTTGAATATTCTCCCTCCCCTTTAGTGAAAATTTAGGAGAGGGCAAGTTTTGATAGTAGGTAAAATCTGGTATCTTCATCAGAGAACATGACTTTTTGAAGAAGAAAGTAAACCCCAGAGATAAAAATATTTAACTGGATGAAATCTCAGGGGTTGAAGACATACGCTGAGAACTGAAATAATCTGTAACTTCACTAATTTTGTGCCAGAATTTTAAGAAGGGTCTTCAAGGAACTGCTTTGGGGCATATTAATAGTATATCCTTTGCATTTTGTTCATGGAATAATGTCACCATAGGCATACTGTTCTTTGAAATAAAATCAGACAACATTTTTGTACAGCTTCTTAAAAACTATAATTAGGGGAAATTGGAATATAAGAAAAGGGGAGAAAATGGAGAAGATAGGCACTTAAATTGTAAATACCTTTATTCCATCTTGTGATCATGTTGTTTAAAAAGTAAAGTGATTTTTGTATTACAAAAATGAATATAAAAAGAATTTTCTGTTTTAATTTCTGCTGCTTGCTTTCTTCATGAATAGCACATTCTAATTTGGTGGTGTTCTCACTAATTGATTTGGATCTACATTTGATTTCCATTATAACTCAAAAATAATACCATAAACTTTATATTATAAATCAGGATACTGTTTTTAAGGTATGTAGTTAATTGCCTGAAAGTATAAGGATATATTCATGAAATAACTTTAACTACAGGGTAAATCTGACAAATGACATTTCACATCTGTGACTGTTTCTAGGCACTTATGTGGGTACATTGTGCTAATGAAAATCTACCTGAGGATTTGATCAGAATTACCACTTGCTTTGTTTTTCTTCATGGCTATCTTAAGTGAAAAACCACAACCTATTTCTGAAACCTAATATAGAGATATTTGATAGGGATGTAAATATTTTCTTTTATTGATCACATCTGAATAGAACACTAAAGAGAAAGAAGAAGAAGGAAGTCCAGAAACAAGAGTAGTACACAGATGTGCTCTGCCACTGAGCTGCCACCACCTACCCTGTTTCCCCGATAATAAGACTTAACCTGAAAATAAGCCATAGTATGATTTTTCAGGATGCTTGTAATATAAGCCCTACCCCAAAAATAAGCCCCAGTTAAGTGAAACCTTGTCCTCCACCATTCTGCAGAAACAAGAAGGTGATATGACTGTATTTGAATAAATATAGATTGTTGTACATGAAAAAAATAAAACATCCCCTGAAAATAAACCCTAATGCATTTTTGGTGCAAAACTTAATATAAGTCTGTCTTATTTTCAGGGAAACACAGAAAATCTCCATAAAAGGTCTATGGGTGTGGGTGGGTGTTAGATATCATTTGAGCTGGATTTACAAGCTGCACATTCCGTACTTAAGGCCACATAAAAGTATCTGCTGGGCCTTCCTCTGTGTTTCAGTGCTTACTTTTTAATATTTGCAGGAAACACCATGAGCATGTTATTGGTTGTTGACATGTAAGGCACACTCTCTATAAGCTTTTCAGCATGCTTAGATTCTTGCTAATATAGCCTTTCTTGAGATTTAAGGCTAAATGTGGGACGGGGTGTTGTAGGTATGAATTTGACTAAGCACAAATTGTCTTGCCTGATCTGACCAAGGTCCGTCTGGTTCAATAATCTTTTCTAAAACAGGGCGGCTAGATGCTTCTAGAAAAACAGAATGTTTATCATCCAGGACCCATTTCATTTTTGTAGTGAAGGATAATTGACTGACTTTTTATACAACTAGTTGCCATTTTATACACCCAGTTACCATTCTGTTTGAAAATGCTCAGAAAATTAGGAATGTAGCCTAACTATATAAATTGTCTGGTGCTAAATAATCTGTATATATGTCCCCCTCCACTCATGGACCATGATTTAAAATTTATTTCCCCTTATTAAGCACAGTAGCCCTCATTTTTCCTTAGACAGCCTCTCTGTGTTCCAGAAAGAAATTCCTTAAACCCATCTAATTGATTTAATCACATGATTGTTTAGCATAGAGTTACTTCTGTCATTTAAATGAAAAGCGTTTGTGGTCATGCTTTGGCAAAAGACCCATTGTTTCAGTCTGCATAATAGTTTAGAGGCTGATGCTGAGAACGTGACGATTATCCTTCTATTAATGGTTGTTTAAAGGATTCTGCTGACATGAAATATTAATTCAGTTCATCCAAAAAAAAAAAAAACCCCTCTCCATTTTATGAATGTGGGATATTGGTGAAATATTAATTCAGTTCATCAAAAAAAAAAAACCCTCTCCATTTTATGAATGTGGGATATTGTGCTTCTGTACCCATAATTCAAAACACCAGGAAATGGCCCAGTATTGCTGCACAATATCATGCCCATGATGCCAGCAGGAAAAAGGATGGCAAGCTTTACATAGCAAATGTTGACAACACCAATGGCAGAAGTCAAGATGGTCTATAGGATACCTGCTTCTGCTTACTACCATTCACAAAATGACACCAAGCAAGGGAAAATCCCAGAAGCTGACTCCTTTTTCCACCAGTTAACCGCTTGTCATCCAAACACAAAGCAATTGTCAGGGCTATTTTTTTGACAAGTGTGAATGATAATGAGTACAAGAGGGTAACTTGACTGCTGCCATTGATGTTGTCAACATTCAGGCTGCCCTTTGCTACATAAAATGCGGCATTCTTTTTCTTACCAGCAATGCAGGCATGCTAACGTGCAGCAAAATTGTGCCATTTTCTAGTGTTTTGAATTGTGGATGCAGAAGCACAATATCCCACATTCATAAATTGTAGGTGATTTTTTAAAGAATTGAATTTCCTGGCTTTAAAAAAAAACCAGAACTTTACATATACATACACTACACACAAATTCCAACCAAAATTTCCCTCATGTAGCATTACCCAGTGGTACAGGACCCCAGAAGATGAGCACGTGATCTGTATTATGGTCGCTGAGAGAGGACAAAAGTAAAAACAGCTAGGGTGTGGCTGTAGTTTCTCTCTGCCAAAATATTTTGAAGACTTTTTTGGGGATTTAATGAAATGGCGAAGTAAAGATGTGAGTTAGTACAACGTACACAATGGAGAAACATACACACTCTTTAACCTCTCAGGTAAACTAACGTTGCCATGCCTGCTCTACCAAACACAGACTAGAAATATTTGTTCCACTTTTGAAACCTTTTCGTTGGATTAGGCAACCTAAGGAAGAAAAGCTGTATCAGACCAAAAGCTCTATGAATGTG